ATTTTTTAGGACAAAGGATGTTTAAACAAGTTTAAGAACAGAATTAACATTCTCAGAGCCTAACAACCAGCTAACTAATAGTTGCCTTTAATTATTAACCTATGTTCATATAATTTAGTCTGACTGAGTGTGTCGGTGTGTGTGTCTGAGATGGAGCTGCACTAGAAAAAATATGCCCTGGATGAATGTCTTCATTATGTTTTAAATTGGAAACAGATTTGATGAGATAAAATGTGAAAGATCAGGTTCATATAGCAACAACAAATACAAAGATATATATATATATATATTCATTTAATTTTCTCCAGTACAGCGAGCAGGACAGATATTTTCTTCTCTCCCGTTTTGAGTCTGACCTGCCCTGTGCTCTGTCAGGACGATCTGGAGCTGCTGGCGGCGAGCAGCTCTCCCGCTCAGCGGACGGTGTTGCCTCTGAAGAGGGCGGCTGTTCTGATCCCCAGCTCTCAGGAGCAGTGCCAGTCGCCAGCTCAGCAATACACAGAAGAAGCCCTGAAAGACCTCTTCAGACACGTCCACCACAACATGCCGGACTCCGCTAAGAAGAAGAAACTCGTCCGACAGGTAGAGTCCAAGCTTAACATTCAACATGAACATTTGTGTGTTCGGTGTCTTTATAACATATGATGTAAGCAGCGTCTCTGTTTGTCCTACATGCAGTTAGTCAAACAGACGACCTCAGGGACGCCGACCAACGAGCAGCGCCAGGCTCCACCGGCCCCCAGCAAGAAACACCCTCGCTCCCGCTCCTTCGGTGGCCTCATTAAGGTACGAAATAACTCCACCAAGTCCAGTTACAAAGAGGAAACTAGGTAGTTAACATCATCGTTTCCACATGTTTGTGCGTTAACTTGTAGATCGAGTGATTGCTGGTGATTTGATATTTGTTGTAGCATGAGTCATATTTCTTTTTAACCTTCCCAGATCCCTTTAATAATAAAAAAAAAAAATCAAAGTGGGGCTTTTTGTTTAAGCACTCATCCTGTGACTTTAATACTCTGAGCAAAATGAATCCTCGGTTGTTCCTGTAACAGCGCAAAGCTCGCGGAGAGCAGCTGACGGCAGAGAGACGACTCCGACACATCTCACCCGAAGCTGTCGCCAGGGCAGGTAGAAAACCCGGCAAAGAGAACGTCATCCTGCAAGCGGTGAGTCTTTTGCAGTGTTGTTGTCTGTGTGTTATCTTTGTCTTCTTGACTCTGTGTTTAATGTTTTCTTCCATCTACAACAAGGCAGATGACCCAAATGTTCATTAAATACAGTAACACTGAGCTCACTGCTAGCCAAAAGATGCCCAAGACACTCCACAGGGAAGCTCTGGTCAGGGACTTTTGCCCGTCCTACCCTCTCTAACCTTGACTTGTCTATGTGCACTTGCAGGTGAACAGCCCGTTAAATGGTCCCGTGTTGGGGAAAGCAGGACTGGTAGTAAAAAACCCAGATTTTGCTTTTCACAAGGGCAAAGGTGTGAAGGTTTCCAAGGTATGATGATGTTTTCTTCTGTGCTTTTTGTCTGAATATTAACGTTTAAATACCGCTTGCATACCTTTTTTTGTTAAATTTTGTACCAGTCAGTCAATAAGTAAAACCATTTCTTATATAAATGTACTTTTTTTCCCCCAAGTAATCCAGAAGTGAACTCCATTAAGACTCACCAGTATTTTGTTTTGATGAAAAGACAGTTTAATTCAATTTTATTAATATAGTGCAGTTTACAACATATGTCGTCAATTCCTGCTTAACATAGTAAACTGCACATGTACAAAGTAAATAAATATAGGTCCTAACACAGAACCCTGTGGAACTCCGTAACTAATTCTACTGCGGGAAGAATCATCATTAACATGAACAATCTGGAATCTGTCTGATAAATCTGATTTTAATTTAGTGCAGTTCCTTTAAGCCCAATTAAACATTCCAGTCTCTGTGACAAGATGCTGTGATCCACTGGATCAGATGCAGCACTGAGATCCAGCAGAACCAGTACAGAAACTGGTCCACTGTCTGAGGCTATAAGAGGATAATTAGTGACCTTGACCAGTGCTGTCTCTGTGCTATGATTCGTTCTAAATCCTGACTGAAGCTCTTCAGACAAACCAGTTCTATGCAGATAATCACATAATTGGCTGCAACAACTTTTCCCAGAATGTTAGAAATAAACGGGAGGTTGGATCTGGGCCTGTAGTCACAACGCCTGGATCCAGAGCAGGCTTTGTGAGCAGTGGTTTTATTACAGCTACTTTAAAAGCCTGCGGTACGTAGCCTGTTAATCTAGAGAAGTTGGTGATATTTCATACTGCAGTATTTATTAGAGGGAAGATTTCCTTGAACAGTCTAGTAGGGATCGGGTCTAACGGACATGTCGCTGGTTTAGAAGAATTTACACTCGACGTGAGCTCCGAGAGGTTTACAGCAGAGAAGCAGTCTAAAGTATAAATCCTGTAAGTCCTATGGATGCATCCAGAGCTGCTGCTGCTGCACCTTAAGACATGCTAACAATAATTAACCTGCCATATTGACAACATGTGAGGAAACGGCTAACTTGTACATGGAGGAAACACTGCTGTTTTTTTGCTAATGTTTTGATTTGTCAGACTTTAAGCAAGCTTGTTAATTAAGTTTATCTGTCTATCTGTCTATCTATGGTTGTATATATCAAATGACAACAGATCTTCCATCCATCCATCCCTTTGCTCTCTTTCCTCTCGTTCATCCCTCAGAAGGACTCCCCGTCGGCGTCCACGATGTGTTTCTCTCCCGCTCAGGAGATCTCGCTGTAAAACCCGACGCCTCCTTCTCACCTCAGACGGGACTCGGGCAGTATTAATATTGTTTTCCCTCGTGTTTACTTCTGTGTTTTCGTCGTAGTGAGTCTATTTTAACTCTGATTAATATGCGGCGGTGCCAGCCTGAGCCAGCACAGCCAAACCGACGCCAGGAACGTGTTCAGGACATCCAGCTGCTGAATGGAGCTGCAGGTTTTATTTTAGTGGCATTAACGTCTACAGTTTTGTGATGAATCATTTAATTTCCTTTCATTGGGTTGTTAAAAGGGACTGCAGCTGTTTCAGGCAAACTCTGCAGCAGCTGGTGTGCAAACTGCTGATTAGAATTCCTTTAAACTACATTTTCTTGCCTTTTTAAACTATACTTCTGTTGGTGAGCATGTTTGTCCAGTTCCTTGCTGAGCTGTTGCAGCACTGAGGGAGCGAAACTTTGTTATTTTATTTTAATAATTGTTTTATTTTGGTACGCATGTGTGAGATAACTGGATGAGGATATAAGTGACGCCCCGTGGCACATGATAGTCATCATAAAGTGTAGCGCTAATCACGCTGCATGGTGCTAAATGGTGTCTATCGCTGAGCTCTGCCTGAATGTGACTTCCTTTGGTTTGGCTTTGCTGGCTCTGACCCACTCGTGCCAGTAATAACTTGTATTTTAGCTGCTGTATGAGGATCTATGACCACTAGCTAGCCGAGCTCACAGTCTGCTCTAGTGTAGGATGTGTATACATGTTGTACAGTGTGTGTGTGTGTTTTCACATGTTTAGACTTATTGGGAGCTGCGATGTTTGATTGGACTTCTTGGTACTGGACTGGCTGATGATTTCCTGAATCAATCAGCAGCACACTTTGTTTTTCCAAGTATGAAAAATCAGGATTAATAACTGATGATCTTTATTAGTCTCCTCGTGGGTTTTTATCAGTTTCGGGGATCCCTGCTTGTGAATCTGTCAAATATGAAACGATACATTCCCAGAATGCACCACTGGACTTGTTTCATCTTCCTCTTTCATCATGAAGGCGTTATTTGTTTTCATTTAAACAGAAGTTGTTGGGAAGTTTGTCGATGGCTTTAAATGAACGTCGAAAGATTTTTTTGCATGAGTTTTATTTTGGATGGAGCGAGCAGCAGCCTGTTCAAGTCGGGTTCTTACGTCTAGATCTGGTATCCGAGGGGAGCAGATGTGAGTCTAATCACAGTAACACAAGACAGAACAACACTTTATTTATATACTATTTAGTAGCTCGTTATGATAAAACATTAGAGTCAGCACAAACCATTTCAGCTGAGTTGATGATTGTATGCGATTAAAAACAACAAATTTACATCAGGAATTTAGCAACTTTTCTAGGTTTCAGAGCACCAACATGAGATGGCTTTCCACTGCAGGAGGTCGATGTTTCTGGGCCCCAGACCGACCCGTGGCTGTGCAGAATCCAGTCGCTTTGACTGCTGTGTTAACTCAGTAAACAACAACAAACAGAACTTATTGGTTTAATTCCGTGAGCATGCAGGAGATGGAGCATTTATTGTTTATTGTCGCTGCTGATGGTTCTTGAGAGGAGCAGACTGCTGCATGTCACGGGTTTAGCGTTGAGGAACCGCTCAGCAGTTCGTCAGGGTCACTCAGACACAGAAACTTGAAAAGAGGCGGCGATTCCAAAGGTAGTAAGTGTCCCTCAGGTTCCTGCAGTGGAAAACAGCCTCCAACACGTCTGGTCGGTGAAACAATCACGTTGTCCTGCTCTGATTACAAACAAATAGTGACCGAACTGTTCTGTTTATGTGCAGAAATGTTACGTAATGCTCCTTTAAACACTTGTGATGGTGATGATTTGACTCGACTTGGCTGACGTCTGCTCAGTTTGTTTTGTACTGTGAGCACCAGTTACACATTTTCAGCACCGAGTTATAAACGGGTTAACTTCTTAACCATTAGTTACTGAAGATGTGGACCAACACGTGGCTCTTCTATTTAATCTGGAAAGTTTCCGTGAAGGGTTCTCGTTGGTGTTGGAAATGTGCAGCTGGTGCGTTTTGTTGTGTGAAGGTGTTGTGGACGTTGTGACGATGGGTTTGTTGGAAGTGACTGAAATGTTGAACGTCTCTGCTGGAGGAGCTTTTCTGCTGTTGTTCTGTATGTTGTGTTTTTCCTAAAGGTTGGACCAAAGTCTACAAACAGGCAGAACCGTTTGAACGGAGAGCCACTTTGTGTTTAATTCAGTTTGGGGTCCAGAAGACGACATGAGCCATGTGAAGGCGCCACTAATCTGAACTTTTTTTTAAACTATCTAGTTACTGAAATGGGAGCCGTTGCACTCCGTATAATGTGAAATACTGTTTTATATTTGCCCCTCGGCCTTGTGGTTTTAAATCTGCCAGTGTGAACATTTCTACTTGCTGGGCCGATCAATCGTTCTGTGAGAGCAACGTGAGCACAAGTGGGTGGAATTTTAGCTCATTTTTGAAAATAGTTTTTCTCCACTTGCACCTTATGTCTTAATGGGGATCAGCGTTACATTCAAACCTTCCTCTGTCTCTGTCCTGTCATTTGTTCCAGTGTGTGTGATGCTTTACCGTCTGGTTTACACTGTGGTAACCTGTTTGTTTTGTATTTTAGTGTAAAATAAGTTAACCCTGTACAGTGGATTCATTACCGAACTGTCTGCTTCGGATTAAACCTTTTTTTAAAAAAATGTTTCCTACAGAAAGTGTCGTGTTTTAATGGATGTTTTAAATTGTGTGAAATTAAATGTACTTGCTGCCCATCTGCAGCCACACAGTCGACTGTGTTGAGCCAAGGCGTCCATGCAGTGCTTGTGTTTGCCCACTGGAGGGTGCTGTTGGATCGCATAGAGGGGTCACATGTCCCAAAGCTTGTTTTTCTACTTAAACTCTTCTTTTGTAAAAGTGTTTTCTGTTATGAGGACGTATCACTTTTTCCAGGCAAACACAACCTTGAGCTTTTCTTTTTCTATTTTTTTTTTTTTTGTGAAGTTCGAGTGTTGTCCCGTACTTCTACATTTGTGGTTTCACTCCTCCAGTGTTTTCACCCCTCTGCTTGTCTACATTTTTAAAAAATTAATCTTTATTGTAGAATAAGACAGAGCAGCTATTCAGAGCTGCAGAGCACTGCCTGTTGTTTTCCTTTTATGAGTTTCATCTTAAACTGTGGAGTAGTGAGAGCGCCAAATTACAAAAATAAATCAATAAAAGAATAATAAAATAAAAGTAAAAATAAATAGTGTGGCAATATATTAAAAAATTAATCCATAAAAGAAAAGGCTAATGAAAGTAGAAATAAAGAGACATATAAATAAAATAATAAAAAAACAATTCATTTTAAAATTATTTTTCATTTTTTATTATTATTTAAATTTTTTTCAATTATTTTTTAAAGTTAATTCACTTTTTAAAATTATTTTTATAAAATTTTTTATGTCACTTTAAAAGCAAAGGAAATATGTGCACACCGACATTCCTCCTGCGCACATTTTTTACATTTCCTTTGCTTTTAAAGTGACATAAAAAATAAAATAAATAAATAAAAATGAAAAAATAATTCAAAAAAATCTAATATAATTTGAAAAAAAATAAAAATTTAAAACTATTTTATTTGTCTTCATATTTGGACTTTTATTAGCCTCTTTTATGGATTCATTTTTGATTAATATTGCTTTATATTGCCACATTATTTTATTTATTCTTCTTTTTATTTCCACTTTCATTTTGTTGTTTTATTTTTGTAATTTGGCGCTCTCACTACTCCATATAGAACTTCCCTTTACTGCCCATCATTAATAACACATATTTTTGTCTTTATTATTCAGCGACACTTCTTGCAACACGATGACAGTTTATTGTTTTTATTGGCATCCGTAGAGAAACTTAGGAAGGTCAGAGGTCATCCAGTGAGGTGTCCCTGGAGCTGGTTGGGATTCTACTGGTACAGAGACGATCGGCTTTATTGATAAGCAGACCTTCAAGTTTTAATTTGGAGCGAAAATAAAACACATCAGTTCAAACGACGAGATCGGTCAGTTTTGACATAATAAACTATGTCTGCAGCTGTAAATGCATTTTAATTTTAAATACAGCACGTGGAGTAAAATATTTATTTGGTTTTTACTGTCACTGTGTAAATACACCCTTTTTGGGGGTTAATTGCATCCGACATGCTTTTTAGCCGTATGCTTTGTAGTCATTTTGCAGCTTTTACACCAACCCCCCCCTATCGGGCAGGAGTCCACCCCGGGGGGCTTTGACTGACTCCCAATTAATTTGTTGATTGGTGGTTTGTGCAACTAAAAAAAACATATTAAGCAGAATTCACCAAATCTTTGTTTGTCAAGCCTTGTTTTGGGAAATTGTTCATCAAATATTGATATGATTCGGCACGCTGACGTCTTTAAACTGCCTGTTTTTGTCTGACCAACATCACCAAACCCACAGTTTGCAGTCATTTAATGGAGACAAGTGGCAAATTCTCACAACTAGGATCGGAAACAAGGTCATGTTTAGTTTCTTTTGTCTTTTTTAAAAACAATTGAGGTAGTTGTAAATGATTTCCTGGAGATAAATGGATTAATTAACCGACTGTCAGCTGGTTGAAGTCATGAAAGAAGCCGTGCTGTATGCCCATGAATGCCCAACGTCATCAGAGCTCTAACTCTGTGACTTTATTTATCAGATATACCGACTGATTTACCGCCTTTGTCAGTGGATACGTCTATTCTTAGGGGGATTTAAAGTTTCGGTGCTAAATGACACAACATGCAGAGAAAAATCTGTTGTGAGTCGACGCGTTTGAGACAAAAGCATCTGCTCCGTATTTCCAGAAATCAATTCAGACGCGTCTGTAGTAAAAGCCCCCCCACCCCACCCCACCCCACCTACCCCAGCTCCCCACACACCCCGTCCTCAGAAAGCTATTATGGCCCCCAGAAATAAGGGGGTCCACCCCCCTGGAGATGTCAACATCTTGTCCCTCCCTTTGTTGCAGATTAAGGCCGAATGAGTCATTCAATTCAGCTGCACAAAGGCAGCAGCCGGGCTCTGCCTGTGGCCAATTTGTTTTCCATCACTTCTGAAGCGCGCCTGGTTAAATTAACCCGTCATAGCGAGTCTGCCAGGAGAAGACAAAGTGAGGCCACGAGCAATAATCACTCATGTATGGTGGTAAATAAAAAGCTGGGTAAACTGTGCCCTCCAGTCGCTAATGGACGCACCGCAGACAAGTGACAAATCAGATCTGTTGTTCAAAGAAACCTAATTCTGCACCAGATCATCAGTGACAACAAATAAAGAATTAATTTTGCCCCTTTTTCCTTCTTCTCGATGCTTCACTGAGAGCAAATTAAAACACAGCTTTTGATGATGGACTTGATTGAGTGGAAGGACGTACAGTTGCTATACAGTTTGTTTTTAAATCAAGCAAAAGCAGCAAACATTTGCAGGTTCCAGCTGCTCTGAGGAGTTCCTGTTCTTCTGTTTCATGCCACTGCAAACCAAATGCACGCTGAATTAACTTAACCGTTAATGGCTTCGTTTTAAATGAGTTAATCTGCAAAGAAGCACATTGTTGTCGGTTCTGAACGTCCTCACAAGCAGCTGATTGGTAGTTTTGGTGGATTTCTCCACTCTGTCCCTGATTTTTTTCTCCTCCTCCTCTTCCTTCTCGCCTTGGTGATATGGTTATCACAAAAGCTGAAGCCGGGGTTTCTGTGGAGATTGGGGGGAAGAAAAAAAAAAAAAACTCAGCCAGGCTCCATTTGAATTTCAAAGCGTTGCCAGTGAATTCATAATAGACTTCTGAGTAAGCTCTGTGGCAGCTTATGGCATTCCAGTTATGCCAGTCTCATAAGAAACGCCCCCCCTCCTCCTTCCTCCCAGATCCATCCAGTCCAAGTTCCTGCAGCCCGGTGTGCTTTCTTGGCACCGAGCCACGACTAAAAAAAAAAAACACATCATCACATTGAACACACACCGAAACTTCCTCCTTTCATTTATTTCACATTTATTGTTTTTCCTCCACAAATTGTTTCCGTCCTCATATTTTCTCTTCCCCCGGTCGGATGCTTCGGGGCGATCACGATTTCCTCTTCCCTTCCTCCCTCTTCCTCCCTCTTCTCATCATGTCCATGCAGCCTTGGGCTCTTTTCTTTCCCCCCCAGGGAGCATGTGGGCGAGAGAGGTAGACGGAGAGCGGCGAGAGGGGAAGAGAGAGAGAAAAAGGCTGCCGTCACTGGAGGTGGCGGCTCCGGCTACTGCTGTCACTGAATAGATGTGAGTTCACTCCGGGTACTGGTGTGTGTGTGTGTGTGTGTGTGTGTGTGTGTGTGAGGGGGGTGTCGTCGGCGTAGGAGGAGTCTCGGTGCTGTTATTTGTAAAAGCTTTTGATGGATGATTACTCTGTGTGTGTGTGAGATAGAGGCAGTGAGGGAGTCCCCCCCTTTCTTTCTTTCTTTTCTTTTTTTTTCTTCTTCTAGTGGCTCACTGTTCAGTGCACAATGACTCAATGAAAAGTGGAGGGGAGAGGCAAGCACACTGTACGGCTGCATGAGAGAGAGAGAGAGAGAGAGAGCAGAGAGGACACACAGGAGAGTAGAAGAAGAGAAGCCAATTGGAGGGAGCTCTAAAGCTGGGGACAAGTAGAAGAAGAGGATATACTTGTCTTTTTTTTCCCCCCCTCTTCTCTTTATCTCTCTGAAAAGGCCACTCTGGGATCAAGTGGCAGTTGAACTTCATCCGGCTGTGCTGCTGCCTCTTTTTCCTTCTGTCCACTTCTTAGAGGAGGTGGTGGTCAGTTATCCCAGGCGGACAGGAGGGGATAGGAATCTGTTTTTTGCAGCGCAGGAGAGCAGGATGCCTGCTGGAAGAGGAGGTGATGGAGCCGGGTCAGGAGGCTGTGGGACGGCCCCGGGTCGGGCTCTTGGCTCCGGGCGGTGGACGATGCTGGCGTGGGGCGTTCTGGTGGTGGTGCTGCTGGCGGGTCAGGGAGGCGCAGAGGCGTGCCCGACTCCCTGCAGCTGTCTGGGGAACACGGTGGACTGCCACGGCCTGGGGATCCACTCTGTGCCCAAAAACATCCCCAGAGGAACTGAGAGGCTGTGAGTAGTCGTGCCTGCATTCACGCATTTCTGCACTTCTGAGGACCAGATAATCACAGACAGATAGTGAGACGTGGGGGGAACCCTTCAAAGTGACGGCATGTCGGTGCCGCTCACTTAAAGGAGCGAAGAGCAATTTAGATCTGGTCCGCTTCAAACCGGGTTCTGGGTTAAGATTTGGTTTCTAGGTCAGGGTGTGAAGATCTTTACAAGCAAAAACTGCAGATATTTGTAGTTGAGATGGATGTGTGTGAAGCCAAGTGTGTGTGTGGAGGTGCAAATTAGTGTGTAGTGGTCGATTTAATGAGTGTGTGTGTGTAGGTTTTGTGCATCATTTTGTCGTTTGTTGGCTCTTTCTTTTTGCACCAGCTCTCTTTACCAGTAGTAGTCTGTTTAACTTCATGTCACACACACACACACACACACACACACACACACACACACACACACACACACACACACACACACACACAGAGGCTTCGACTCTCCACTTGACTCCCAGGATTCAGTTGCTGCTCTGCGGCATCACTTGTCCGTCCTGCAGCTGTTCTCCGTTGCAATCACACGTGTAACATTTATTTTTATTT